CACCTCCGGTTGTCCGTCAAGATAGATGCAAATGGTAGGTGCGGAGGTTTGGGCAGCTCTTGTTGACCTCTACATTCAATAATTAATCAAGGTCACTTTTTGGGAAAAAAGAAGAACAATACTTTTGGAATTTAAAAGTCTAACCATAATATATAGAGGTCATTTTTTCATCATTTTTTCTATTCTGGTCTGATATTGAATTAGAGCATCTCCAATGCAAAAACGTGAACGATGCATATGTGGCATGAGAGATAGCCAATTAAAAAGTACCGAATAGAATATCTCTCTCCTTATTTGAACGGTCATATATGTTTTTGGTAAGTTTTTCTCTACAATGTCAAACACAATGTCTAGATGTAGACATTGTGGTTGACAATGTTAAGAAAAACTTACCAAAAACACACAAAACCGTGGAAAGAAGGAGAAAGAAATGTCATAAATTTAATTATTTGTGTCTATCTCTCTCATGCCACATGTGCATCCTACACATTGTAGCATTGGAGATGCTCTTAGTAAGTATAGACATCCCAACAATTGCACATCCACCTATATACGTAGTATTTTTTAATCGTGTTTGCCTCTCGTAACTGCATGACTCATATTAGAATAAGGAATCAATTTCTTGAATTATGATATTTTAACTAACATGAGTTCTTGTAATTTACGAGAGAAGTCTTTTTAATATTATTATTGATTCTCATAATAATAATAATAATATATTGTTAATTCATATTATTTGAGAATATTGTATTGTTTGAATAAGTTAAATTTTATTGCTTATGCAGTAGTTCTTTTAGAAAAGTCAGAAACTAAATGAATTGTGTGTTTTAATGTGAGCATTTATCTATTGAAGTTTCAATTGGCGCTTACCTAGGGATGGACCGGTTCCGGTTCGGGCCCAGTTCGGGCCTGGGCCTCGGTTCATGAAAAGGGACGCCCGGAACCGGCCCAGGTAACCCCGGGGCCGGGCCGGGCCTCGGTTCAATTTTTTTTTTTTTGGCTTTTCCTAATTAACCCTCCCCCCTCACCCCCAAACCACCCCAAACCACCTCAAATGGCCCATCATACCCAGCCCAACCGAAAAACTTAAAAAAAAAAAGGCCCTGACCGGGCCCGAATCGGCCAGGCCGGTTCACTATTTAGCAGGCCCGGCCCGCCTACCTCACCAGGCCGGGTGGCCCGAACCGGGCACCAACCGGTTCACCGGGCCGGTCCAGGCCTGCACAGTAGCGGGCCGGTCTGGTTCCGGGCCGGTTGGCCCGTCCCGAGTCCACCCCTACGCTTACCCCGTTGTCGTCCTTATCTTCAATTTAAATTGGGTACATGCATAATACATCTTGTCCCAGAATGAACTTTGATACAACAGAAAATAAACATTGGAGCCACCCCTAGGCCCAGAAACACCAACATACGTATAGTTGTTGATTTTTTTAGTAAAACTTCACACAAGACAAAACTTCTTTCTTTAAATATTTGTATATATCAACTAAGTACTACTCAATAATATTCTTCTTCTGAAATAATTCAGCACATGGGCGTAATCAAGACCCAGCAAACTTAGATTTGGATTTTGCAGTTCACCGAAAGAAATCAAGCTTTATAAATATTACATTATGAAATTTGTATATGGTTCTTTTTACCGAATATCTTCTTGGATGTGCCAAAAAAGAGATTAACAATAACTTCGATAGTCAATAATGCCTTCGTTGGCATCACCTAAACCTCGAGGGCTCAAGGTTGTGTGTTTACATTAGACCTGTAAAAAACAGACTCAGACCAAGATGTACACTATTTTTGTCCACAATGTCATGTTGTTTACACAAAGAAACTACAATGTCAATTTGCAATATTCATCCCGTAACTTTCGGCCGTTATCATTATTAGTCCCGTAATTTTAGTCACTTGCAAATTCAGTCCTCTAACTAATTAATATTTGCGATTTAAGGACTTTTCCCCTGAAAAGTACACTTTCCGGCAATAGCATACCGGAAAAGATGTTGCCGGCATTGGACTTTTCCGCCGGAAAGTGTACTTTCCGGTGGGAAAGTCCTTAAATTACAAAGATTTATTAGTTACAGGACCAAATTTGCAAGTGCTTAAAGTTACAGGACCAAAAACGATAACAGCCGAAAGTTACAGGACTAAAATTGCAAATCTCCCTATGAAATTCATATTAGACCGAATACTGTGTTGGTTACTCAAAGAAACCATTGTTGAGGGTTTGTGAAGATCATAGATGCCCTTGTTTTAGATATAACTCAAGAAACACATAAGCCCTCCATCTTTTTTGGATCAATAACTGTCAAATTGAGTTGGATAGGTTTAAAAATAACCTTCCTCTGATCTTCTTACCTATTAATTTTGCATAAAAAAACTAACTCTTCCCTCTTCAAGCCTCCAACTTACACTTGGAAGATAAATACATGTTTGGTAAGTAAATCTCTGGATTGATTTTTATGAAAAAATAAACTCAAAGGGCCACGGATACTGACATACATGCATGCATGTAATCTCAAACCTTAGAAAATAGTGATCTTACACTCATCAATGTTTCAGACCATCCACTAAAACTTATTTAAAGAGTCGAAAATCTAGAAGTGGATGGTTTCTCATAGTGATATGATTGATAACTTCTCAATCTCATGTATTGACTGTCAACAAAAACACAAAACTTAAATAATGACTTGACACTCCAAATATGCATTTGTGTTGTCCATCCAATTAGTACTCAGAACCAGTATTATGACAATCTAATGATCTTTTATTAGAAACTAAAATAAACTCTTAGGAGTTAGGACATGTTTACAACACGGGTTAATAAGCGTTGTTTATTACCCCGTTGTTTAATCAGAGATGCTGAATAAACATATATTTACTTCACGAGATCAATGCATTTATTAAGACATGGGTCAATGTAAATCTGTCAATTATAACCTTTGAGGACTTGCAACCACCTTACTACTACTCTCACCCCACCCCCTCTCCTACACCACCCCTACCCAACCCCATTTCCTAGGGTAGGGGGTAGGGGTAAGGGTGTGGATAGAAGCGGGGTGGTTAGGGGGTGGGGATAGGATAAGAGTGATTAGGGTTGGGATAGGGTAGGAGCGGTTGGAGGTGGGGGTAGAGTAGAAGTGGTTAGGGTGGGGGAAATGGGGTAGGAGGTTGTCGAGGTAGGATAGGAGTGTGGGGTAGAAGTAGGGGTGCTCCGCGACTTCCATTATGGGATGCAAGGAGTATACTTGTCAATATAAAAAAGCTCAATATGTTTTTTGATAAAATGAGAGTGGAGTGCTACTAAGCAACAATATAAGACATAAAAAGTGTTTATGACCTGACATTTATCCAAAAAATTGTTTACTCTACTTTTGTTATTAAGTTAAAAGTGAAATTAACATGGAGACATACCCTTAAACAAACCAGACTTCAACAATTGTAAAATACAATTATACCCGACATAGACTAGACTTAAAAAGCCCGATCAAACGAGAAAAGTTCGATCCAATTAAAAACATCCTTAAAGTTGAAATAAATAAGATCCAAAAATTGTTTGTGTATGTCAATCCTATGAGTGAATATGGCTTCATATTACTGCAATACGTCAATGTTACTGTTTTCTCAATAAAAATGAAGGAGTGAGTATCAACATTTGAAATACTGCAGTCCTGAGGAAAAGACTTCAATGGAGGTGTAGTACATGAATGATATTGATTGTCAAAATATGTATAATTTTTTGTTTATGTTGTTAGGCCAAGACAAATGCACCTCAGAGTTATGCTAGTGGTACATAAATTCTTACAAAAAGTATTACATCATGGTAGTATTGTTTAACACATCATATCACTTTTTACACTTTTTACAGGTGAACAATAGCCACATCACTTGTTTGTGAAAATGGATAGGAGTTTGTTTAGAGGGGGTTTGATTATTAGAATTTCAAGAAGCACAAGCCCAAGGATTCAGAGGGAGATTTCAAGAACCATTACACTGAACCATTGGGGGCTTGTCAAAATGCTTTTTACCCTTCTTTTATATTTTATATAAACATCCAAGGAAAAACAATTGGATTGTGAAGACACAAGGAAATCCAAGTATCCAACTGCTTAAACACCAATACCGCTTTAGGATCTTGGTTTGCAATATATGTTATTCGTTACATCCTAACCAGTACAACTTAATTCAAAACTTTCATAAATAATGATTCACCTCAGTACCTCACAATACCATGAATGTTTTAAAAATACATGAACACAAAAAAGGCATGCTTTTTGGTAAAGGTAGTGCCATCATAAATCATGAACTATACTTGTATATTGTTTACATTTATAGTTTGGTTTAACTAATTAGCTTAAACTCATCATTCTGGATTCTGATAGAGGACAAAGAACTAAAACATTGTAGTAGAATCAAGCTAACAATATGATACTTATGCATTTATGCTTGAACTCTTGCAAGTTTCTAAGACATTGTCTAAGTAAAGGCAGGCTGAAATGAAGACCACCGATTTATAAATCAACTTAAGTTGATCATTTATCACTGGTCTAAGACTTGGTTGAAGAAGTTTATGGTGAAGGGTTGCCTTAACATTCACTAGTAAAGGTAAAGGGTACTCTAGAGTAAGAGATTTCAAACCTGAGTAGCTTTATGCTATCCAAGGGTAAAGAACAGAAGAATACTATCTGATATTAACAACACAGAAGGCCAGAATGGTATAGTACCTTCAATGAGAGAGCTGAAAAGGATCCTAAAGCATTTTATACAGACACTTCTCCGGACTGTAAGTTGTTTCCCATGTTGCACTGGGTAGAGTATGTGAGATTTAAGGGAAGCATGTGAGTTTAAATGACTCATAGAAAAGCATTATTTTAATATTCTCAAAGAAATTTCCAAACGGAACTCAGGAGTTCCATCAAGCACATGAACCTTATAGAGGGCTGACATTGGTTATGGCCTTACGGGGGGGTTCTCTCTTTTATTCTTTTTTTCCTTCTAGGAAAAAAATTAAGAAATAGAATCTGAAATATAAAATGTCAGGAAAACAAGAAGGGTGCACGAACCGCTCAAAGCAGCAACACGCGAAAAGTCAAGTAATTGCCGATAATGTAAGCATATCAATTTTCAACATTATGATCGATCAATAAGAAATACTTCATAGACATTAAAACCCTTCCAGGAATGAAAATGCACTCTATTCCGAAAAGGCCAAAACTAACAGTGAAAGATTCGATTACTTTTGAGGTGGGCCGACAGAGGGAGGTTGAGAAGTGCCAAAGAGACTGGCCTACTGAAGATCGAGTTTGTTGAGATGTTGCTCCCGGTCCATTATAATGATGAGCGGGACGGAGATGATTAGAAGAGTGGTGGCGGCGATCCACGCCGCCTTGCCGGTACTCTTGGCCAAACGCTTGCTTACGTAGGCGGATTTGCCTAAGCTGGTGCCGCTGCTGGATTTGCCTTTAATTGCCATTGCAGTAGGGTTTAGATATTCGGCTAAATATAAGCCAAAATCCTAGAGTGGTGAAGTTGTACTCGTGGGTATATCTGTCCGGGTGTTCCGTTTGACTATTATACGGATAGTATAAGGGTACTCACCCTTATACCAATAATCTTATACGCACCATGTTTGTTAAGCTTTTTGTGTGTTAACCCGTTTCACAGACAATATTTTGTTTGTGCAAAATATTGTCTGTGAATCGATGTTAACAGACAAAAAAAAGTTTTCACAAACATGAGTGGGTATAAAAGTGAGTACAAACATCATTTTTGATAATAAAATGAACAAAAAACCACTTATGGGCATTCTTATGACATTGTCACTGACATTGTTTTCTATTGACATTTTTATGACTTTGTCATTGACATTCTTACGACATAAGTATTGACATTGTTTTTTATAGACATTCTTATGACATTTTCTTAAACTGATGACATTTTTATATATTTTTATGACATTGTCATTGGGTACAAATGAAAACCAATTGCGGGAGTAGTGGAATACACAAAAAAGAAAAATTGAATCGTGAGAGGCAGTGGGGCCATCATTGTGAAGAAAAGGAGAATAGCTAAAGTAGAAATTGATTCCACAGAGAGCAGTATGTCTCAGGAAACACCAGGCTGAGGATCTCTAGAAATAAAGACATCATTATTAATATTGATATTAGTGACATTGTTTATCATATTATTATCAATGAAAAAAAATCAAAATGAATAATGATATAACCTCTGATCCAGAGAATTGAATTCATTAAATGAATTCATAAAATTGAAATAAGAAATTATAAAAGCAAAATAATAGTATTGTATCTAGAAATCGAAAAGTAAAACAAACATAAAAAGCTACAGACGAAACGTTGTCCCTGTTTTCTCATAGCAGGGAGGAAGAAGAACCCTAGGGAGGCGGGAGTGCTTAAGACTGGGAAAGAGAAGATGTGCAGTATAAAGCGGCAACGCGATGCTGCGGAGGCGGCGCGAAGTGGCATCGGCAACTTGGCGGTGAGGTGCTGCAACGGTGATGATATTCCGTTGCGGCGAAGTCAATCCAAGGAGGTCGGTTAAAAGAAGCAGTGGCCACGAAATTGATGACGAATAAGGCGTGGGGTTATTTTTGTCCTTGCGCGTAGATCGTAGTCCTATGTACGGTTTAAAAAAATTCGACTTCTATTTAGAGTCCAACTCTATGTTTTACTCTTGTTTATGTCTTTATCCCAATTTTATACTCCCTCTGTCCCATTTAATTCTTCCAACTTTCCATTTTGGGTCATCCCAAATAATTCTTCCAATTTCCACTTTTGGAAAAAATATGTGGTTCACATTCATTCACATTTTTCTTACACAACTATAACCATACATTTCCACTTTATTCCTCCTTTCTAAATTTGCGAACCAAGTTTGACTTGGAAGAATTCATTGGGACGGAGGTAGTATTTCTAAATTTAAAACGGGGTGAATTGAATTGAGAAAGAATGGCAAAAATATCACTTATGGGCTTTAGATGGACAAAAATATCAATCTTTTAGATCTGGACAAAAATGTTACCATTTTAAAATTATAAAGTTATCCCTTTCGCGAAACTGTATCCCTTCCTGTTAAAGCATTTGTCTCACACCGGAAAGCTATAAAACAATTAAACACTATATAAGGCTTTGGTCTACTCCTCCTATCAGGTTGATCTTTTAGGATGGAACCTCGGACCTTAACATGGTATCAGAGCCAATTCAGGTTGTGGTTTAACGGCTTGTTTAGCACCCATGATTAAGAGTAGCTTGTTAAGGGTTTGTTTGGCCCGTTTATACACCCTGATATTGTTCAGCCCGGTTCGGGCTGAGGGGGTGTGTTAAAGCATTTGTCCCATACCGGAAAGCTATAAAACAATTAAACACTATATAAGGTTTTGGGTTACTCCTCCTATCAGTTTGACCTTTTAGGATGGAACCCCGGGTCTTAACACTTCCGTCGAACTCCCAAGCCAGCGAATCGAAGCCTTCAAACTTTCGTTTACCTCTGTGAAGCCTTCATCGTCCCCATCGTCTCTCATCTTCACGCAACCACCATCGCCGCCTCGAAACTTGATAAATAAAAAGCATAAATAAGTATACAATTACATATAATATACCACGTACTTTTTTGTATTACCATGATATCTTAAAATATTTTTGTATGTACAATCATGGAAACTTGATGCACACATTTTTTTGTATGTATTGCCAAAGATAGAAAACCTACAACCCTTCTATGCAAGAATCATGTAATATTTTTGCTCAAACTATTTATAAAGCCATATATTTTGGCAAAATAATTACTTACGTAGGCGGCGTTAGAAGCGGCGCTCTTTCCTTTGCGGACTATTGAAGACTCCGAGACACGATTAATAATGGAGCGGTCGCTGCTGCTGGTGCCGCCGCTGGATTTGCCTTTAATTGCCATTGCAGTGCCGTGATGGGCGGCAGTCGGGTTTAGATTTTCAGCTAAATATAAGCCCAAAACCCTAGAGTGGTGAAGTATTTCCAGTTCAGGTTTTACGGACCTCCTTCGCACACCTTCGAAGTTACTAGGCGCACCTCTTTTTACCTGGTATTGGACAGACTTGTCCTCTTGCCTCGAGAAACTTACGTAGCTAGCGCACCAATAGTTTTTTCCCCTTGGCGTATATACTATATATGCTCCTCTATATTTTTCTTTTTCCTTTTTGTTAAATTACGTGGGCATGTAATCAATTTTACTAAAATAAATCATTTTATACTCCGTATTAGTTAACTTAATTTTTTGTACAATACAATTGACCTAATTTGAAAAGTTAATAATCCTATTTATTGCTATCTCTGTTTTTTAAATAATTGTAACATGTTGAATTTTGAACTATACAAATGTTCTACATTGACTATATTTTATTTATTCATGTTTAGACCTTAAATTTTTGAGAAATAATATTAAATTCTTCTCACTTATGTGAATAGATGAATGGCTTTCCTTTATTTTAGATCCATGATCCTATTTTTCAGTTTGTAGTTTGTTATTTTATTCCAATAAATAATGATGTAAACCTCATGATTCATAGTGAGCAACGAATTCTTCTATCTGCTCTTGTCTCTCTTATTTTGTGCTTAGTTTTATCCCCTTTAAGTGGTATCAGAGCCACTCTTGCCACTATCAACCCAGTCACAACCTATAATTATGAATAATACAACTCAATTATCTGTCCCCATCCTAGATGGAAAGAACTACAGTCGTTGGAGTGTGCAAATGAAGGTTTTATTTGAGTACCATGATTTGATGGATGTCATAGAGAGAGGAGTTGATGAATGGCTCTCCTTTATTTTAGATCCATGATCCTATTTTTCAGTTTGTAGTTTCTTATTTTATTCCTATAAATAATGATGTAAACCTGATGATTCATAGTGAGCAACGAATTGTTCTATCTGCTCTTGTCTCTCTTATTTTGTGCTTAGTTTTATCCCCTTCAAGTGGTATCAGAGCCACTCTTGCCACTGTCAACTCAGTCACAACCTATAATTATGAACAACATAACTCAATTATCTGTCCCCATCCTAGATGGAAAGAACTACAGTCGTTGGAGTGCGCAAATGAAGGTTTTATTTGAGTACCATGATTTGATGGATGTCATAGAGAGAGGAGTTGATGAATGGCTTTCCTTTATTTTAGATCCATGATCCTATTTTTCAGTTTGTAGTTTGTTATTTTATTCCTATAAATAATGATGTAAACCTGATGATTCATAGTGAGCAACAAATTCTTCTATCAACTCTTGTCTCTCTTATTTTCTGCTTAGTTTTATCCCCTTCAAGTGGTATCAGAGCCACTCTTGCCACTGTCAACCCAACCACAACCTATAATTATGAACAACACAACTCAATTATCTGTCCACATCCTAGATGGAAAGAACTACAGTCGTTAGAGTGTGCAAATGAAGGTTTTATTTGAGTACCATGATTTGATGGATGTCATAGAGAGAGGAGTTGATGAATGGCTTTCCTTTATTTTAGATCCATGATCCAATTTTTTAGTTTGTAGTTTGTTATTTTATTCCTATAAATAATGATGTAAACATGATGATTCATAGTGAGCAACGAATTCTTCTATCTGCTCTTGTCTCTCTTATTTTGTGCTTAGTTTTATCCCCTTCAAGTGGTATCAGAGCCACTCTTGACACTGTCAACCCAGTCACAACCTATAATTATGAACAACACAACTCAATTATCTGTCCCCATCCTAGATGGAAAGAACTACAGTCGTTGGAGTGTGCAAATGAAGGTATTATTTGAGTACCATGATGATGGATTATGGGAATCCAAACATATAATGAATGGAGAGATTTGAGCTATGAAAGTGAAGAAGATGAAGTGTAGTAATGTGTATGAATATAGAATTGAGAGTTGTGTTCTAATGACTTAGGGTTACAAGAGGCTCCAAGAGGAGTATAAATAGGGAAATCCGGGTCTGGGCCTCTAATATGGGTCCAACAGACGCGGTTACATAAATGGACTGATAATATAAAAGGCTAATCTAGTACCTACAAATGACATATAAACAGTACAATAATACAAATGATATCTGTAAGACGTGTGTGGGCCGCTGTCCGGGCCCAATAGTCGTGAGACCCGGGGGTCCGAGTCTATATACTCTATCAGGAGTCCCCCACTCCCTGAGTCGAGAGTACTCGAGGCGAAAGGGAGTAGTCCAAAATGTATCTGCAACGTTGTTCTGTTTTTGATTTCTTCCTCTCCGGCCAGGGACCACCACCCTTGTCCATGATGGGGAGGTGCCTCGTTAAAAACCTTTACTAGGAAAAAACCCAGTGAGAAAAAATCCTAATAAAGGGAAAAAGAGTACACCTAGTGCCCCCAACATAAAACAAGGAATGTAAGTCTCCTCCGGCATGATCAATCTAGCTCAGCTCCTCTTCAACTGACTCAGCTTTCATTCCTGCTCATGCGTGATA